TTATACGGTTCAATTTTGATTCACCAGATGCGCATTTATGTCTCTTCAGTGATGCTCATGCCGAAACGTTGGAAATCCCAAATATTTTTTAAAAAATGAAGAGCTTGAAGATCTTTTTTCCATCATCAGATTTTCGGGGAAAATTCTCTTCTTAGAACCACATGCATAATTGTTCAAAATTGAAGTAGTATGTTCTATTCTATTTTATTATTTTGACATAAGACTTATTAATCACTTAGAGTAGAAGCAAATATTATACAACATTTAGAGAAATAATGAAAAAGGGTGAAGATAACGACCATCGATCATTATAAATCCAGTTTAGAATCCGAAGCATATACAAGGCAAAAGCAGGGACCCTTTGAAACCTCGGATGTGGGATCAGGTGTGTTGGAGGAGTAATTTAAGCAACCTCTCTCGACAGGTAACACCCACAGTAAGCCCTCTGTATTGACCAAGTAAACAGAGAATCCCATAGTCAAAATGATATTGAAACAACGGCTTAATAATTCGCTGGAAACGTGTTAGTCAAAATACGACCCAAAGATAGGTTGTTTTTGCTAACAATGTCATTATAACAACCATAAAATTTGCGAAATGCTGACTTTAAACGAGATAATGAGGTATGCTTAGCCGCACTAAATTGATGAATTGAAACCCAAGCAAGTCATATTCTTCCTGGCATGTATCATATATCTTTATGAGTGATTTTATCATGACTATAGATAACAGACATGCAATTTGGCAGATATCTATAATCCACTGTAACACTAGGGATTGATATAGTGTGTAAAAATGTAATTAAACAAAAGTTGTTTAAGGTAATACAGATCCTTAACTGACAAAATGTGGCTGAAAGCTCCTCAAAACGACTGTGCCACTTATAGTTAGAGGAATCAATGACTTCTATAAGTGAAAATATATTTGCACTTCTAGATAAAGTCAACTTTTTCTGGCCATGAACTGTGGTTGAATATATACAGTAGATTTAAAGATAAAGAGTGTCAAGAGCAACGTTTCTTTTATCAATATTTAACATTTCAAAGACATTATACATTTGTAGATGGTACTCCACATTCAGTTAAGATTGCATGTGATCTCACACGAGTCATATTTCTCTTTCTGTCGATAAAATACAAAAAAAAAACTTTATATAAAATCCTTTATGTCGACAATTTAATTTAATTCTCAGTAAATTGACTGAGATATTATACCATATTCCTGTATTTCATGGGGAAGTCTTTGAATACACAAGTAGAAACAATGATAAGGTTTTTATATTAATGTAATACAGAAAATTTTGTCATAATCCTAACAAAAATTCACTTTAGTTAACTATAGTCTTTAACTATAGTTAACTTTAGTAAAAACTTTAATTGATCCTTTGATTTACTATGAAACTTTACTCTAGAAATTTTGTGAGATTCCAAAAAATTTAAAATTTCTTGAATTCGACAACCGTTTACGGTGATGATAAATTTGGAAATAACATGTGAATATACAAGTAATGGTTCCATTTAATATAAAAATTGTGCCTGTATGAATTGGAGAACATAAAATGTAACAATCTGAAATGTATAGTAAAAATACTTTGATTTACTATAGTAAAACTTTGATACTAGGCAAATAGTTAACTATCGTAAACTTTAGTTCACTATCTGCCCTAACAAGAAAATACTAAAATTAACTATAGTTTGTAAGGGTATCAAACCTTTTGCGTTTAGGAAATGGTATCATGAAAAAAAAAATATACATTGCCAGGTAGAAATTTTCAAGACAACAAAAACATTAATGTGATGCATGGATATAAAAATATTATTAATGTCGAAATATGAGACTATTTTTCCCCAAATTTCAAGGTTTTTTTTCTTTTTTGTGTGCGTTTTTTGTAAAGATTTAAAATGTTGAACATGATCACATTTTACACAAGTTTATGTTTAACTAATGTCAGAATTAAGAAAAAAGGTCGAAATAAATCTCCTTTAATTTTAATTTCCGGCATAAATGTCTTAAAAATGGAAATAGTTTATTGTAAACTTACAATTGCTTTCGAAAATTAAAAGAAGGAAAATGGACACACATGTATTATTCATACGTTTTCCCATGTTATCAACATTTCTACGTATTAATTTAGATCAATATAAAAGGAAAAGGATCATGTACTCAATGAGAAACGTCTGTGGGCTTAATGGTCAGCAGAATATGTTAAGCTTTTAACCCCGTTATGGCTTTATCCCTGCCACTAAAGCAGAAACTGAACACAGACTATTCGTGTTTCCATATTCCATTATAAAACCCTCAGCCTCCAATTGTGATCCTTGAATCCTTTGAGATGTTTTAATGAAACAAAAATCCACATTGTATGAGGAAGCATTTTATATTCTATACTACTACGATCTAAATTACAAGACTTTTTTGTTCTATATGGGTAACCCATTGAGCATTATGCGATTAAGCGTCATTTTTGGCAGAAAAATTGACATAGTAAAAAAAAAACCTGGATATTGTACCATCGAGGAATCGAGCCCTGACAGAAAATATTTACATGTATATCATTAATCATAGTCTTCTTGTTCGTGAGAAGGTTTTCAAACCCCCACCCCCCTTATATATTCATTATGCAAAACCCTAATCCCTTATTGTGACCCACCCTACAACTAAGGGCCATGATTTGACTAAACTTGAAACTAGACATCCAAAAAAACAGTTTATTTCAGTTTTTTCTGGTCCATTGGTTCCTGTGAAGATATTTTTTTAAATTAATTACTCTACATACACACAGAATTTCACACTTTTATCATAAAATGCTTAATTTTATGGAAGTATTAATTATACCATGTCGCGTGACTAATTTATCCTTACAATAATTTAGTTATGAGGTTATAAGATTTTGTTTTATAAATGTAGCATAAACGCCATCTCAATATAAACATGATATATAGCTTTTTTTTTTTAAATTGCCAACAAAGTAAACGTAGTTATTAATTGAAGTTCTGATTACTTTGAAATCAAAATGTCATAAAAACTTTGTCGCAGGATGAAAGTTACATGTATTCTCCTACTCAAATGATCTATTTCTGAACACATTTTTTACAATATACATGTATGGAAGGAACATTTAACTTAAAGTCGGTCATTTCAATTAAATTACATTTCGGCAAATACAGTTAATAAGAGGACCATGGGCTATAGTGTTCACCTGAATCACCTATGTCCTGTTGTTCTTCAGAATCGTGGCCCCATCCTATCCCTTAGGTCCCTGACTAAAATAAACTTTAAAATTAAAATCATTCTCTAAAACAAACTTGAAACTACAGGACCTGGGGATTTTCAGACCCCATTCAAATCAGAATTGATTCAGCTGTTTCAGAGAAGCTGAAGCATATTTTATATATATATATATATATATATATATATATATATATATATATATATATATATATATATATATATATATATATATAAAACAGTCTACGACCGATGGCCGACGCACAACGCACAAAGATGGACGAGAGCAGTAGGTCAACTGACTCAGATGACCGAAAAACAAAACACGTTTGTTGATTTTTCCCACAATTTCAAAAAAATAGTGTGTCTCATTTTCATTTTTTTTTTTCAAAATTAAAATACCCCCTCCCCTTAAATGTTTTGGTCTTTCGCCTTAATGTTTTATAAATATATATTTATATCAATTAATAAAACCTTTTTTTGTTAGCTCTTTAAAGTCACTTTTTTTTTTTTAATGTAAACATTTTTATTCCATTATCTCTGGAATACTGTATATATCCATACAGTTTAGCAATATGAGTTGAACTTTGATGTTGTACATTTTGTTGTAATTACATGTAATAGTTCAGTGACAGAAAAAAAGAACGTTTATAAACTTCTGTTGTTCATATTTGCGATGGAAGAACTATTTATAAGCTTTGATTGAGGTAAAATTACATTATTGTCGTCCTGTACAATATTGATTTCTTATATAATACTATACATTTTATTGTACAGAATCCTTTATTCTGAAACAAATTGATACTCTATTTCTGTCTAATTGATCGAAAATATTCAAATTACATACAAATTTGGATACTTTTTTATAAATGTGTAAGACGCTACAAACCGTTTTTGGAATGAAAAGGCAGAGTAGTTTTTCAGAAACTTGTTGACAAAACATGTTGCTTTTAAAATTGAGTAATGAGTTCCGTTTAATCAAATTTAATGATGAAACATCACATATCGACAAAATAAATGTTTTACATATGAAAATATGTTGATCTTAAATCTTGTAAAAATTATATGATGATAAGGGACATTGTCTACGTATTTTATGAATGAACCTCTTAGCAAGATGTTGTTTACTATATCCCCCCCCCTTTTTTTTTGTTAGGGTATGTTTACTATTTCGTTCTGCGGGCATGTGTACAAAAGACCCTTTTGATGGACCTGTCAAATATCAAGAAAATTGAAGGTCTTGGTTTACAAGGAAAAAGAATCTACATGAAAACTGCCAAAGGACTATTACCTTTCTATGTCTGCTGTAGATATATATTTCAAGTACGTGTAAAGTAAATGTAACAAATATATACCTGGATTCACGAATCATAAAATACAATTCTTAGACTTTTACAGACTACACCTCCAATATCAGAATGTACGATTTGAAACAAAACCAATAATAATATGAATTATGTAATGTAAAACTTTCCGCCAATGTATTTTTTAAAAATATTTTACAAAATAGTTGAAAAGTTGGGATCCTGGCATTGAAGTATAACCTCTTCTAATATCGGAACATTCAGATTGCCTGACAGATTAAGAAAACAATAATTGCTACAAATTTGTAACACTGCATATACTTAGTGAATGAAAATGGCACAATATTTGTACCTTTCCGTTGCCTCAAGTCTGATGGTCAAACAACAGTATTCTGTATATCTCTGGTGAAGAAGACATTTTTTTACATGTGCATTTTATTGCAATTTTTTCACATAAATAATATCAGTCTAAGCTATACATGTAATAGTGGAATGAACATTTCTGAAATAAAAAATAAATATTCGATCATATAAAGTGTATAATTTAGAGCAAAAACATTTATATTGTACTTATATATGTAAAGAATTTGTTGGGGACAATACATGTATATCACTTTTGTTGTTATTCTATTCAGATGTATACAGCCATGTAACATATCAGACATATAACACAAAACATAAAGTGACGAATTCTGATGCCCTTTTAGGCCATGTTGTTCATATGATTTATCACAGAAACTTACCATGTTTGTATCAGTCCTAATATACTGGTATACAAGTCTAATTCTCATTTTATTCTCTTAAAAAATACATCTTGTAAAAACAATTCGTGTATTGATAGCAGCCCACACAAAATACCAGATATTTAAGGTCTTCTTTTTGACAGTAAGACTTAAAACGACAGTATATATCTGTAAAATCCGGTTGGAGATCAAATAACTAAAAGATCACGCCAAACATTAAAGAATCTCTCGATTGTTATTCTAATACATGCACTCTCCTTTACAACTGGATAACGGACAAAATTACAGAGGGGGTACTACAACTGCATTACAGTATGTACGTAAATATGGAAACTACTTCAAATAAAATTTAAAATTCTCATTGCATCCGGTAAAATATATGAAAGTATAAAAATCAAAACGCAAAATTTTTACTAAATGGACGGATAAGCTGTTATACAATAAATTAATTTATACAACATGCAACAGAAAAAAATAAGTATCTGACAAGTAATCTTTATAATAAACAATAGTAATCAGTCTAAGAACATTTCAAACATCTTTGTTCTTGTCAAAATGTGGCAAGAAAAACTAAAGAACACACAAGCATGAATTATTATTTCTCCTATATACATTAAGTGAGCAGCATAAAAATAACATGCAGTAAAGTTTGCTTATACATGTATGCATATAACATTAGTTTATCTCTCTTTAAAATAATCACAATGTACTAAACATAAACTTTTACTTACATTACTAACATGTTTTTAAAAAACCACTTATGTTTGAACATTCCTGGAGAACGTCACAACCTTAATTCACATGTTAGATTACTATTGAAGTATTCAAACGTGGGACACATGTATTGTACAGTATATGAAATATCATAAGAAGTTATTAGAAAACTTCTGATGATATCATTGAAACCTGTAGGTTTTTGCAGAGGTTTCACACAAGTCAGCTTAAATAAATTACGTTATATCTGGTAAATCCTTACATTGGAAATATTCTTAAACATGCTTAATGAGCGTTTTGAATCAATGAAAAAAAGCATACATATATTTGTTGCTTAGCAAATAACAGCATTATGATTAAAATGTGTAGCAAACTACCTATTTCTACTATGTAAAGCCCATTCTTTTCACACCACACTCACAGCAAAACTTGGCTTCCGATAATGGGTACTTGGAGCCACATTCGTGACAAAATTTGGCACCTGTTTTGCCCAGAGAGTTCCTTTTATCATGGCTCACATTTGAATATGAATTCATATGGTCATTTTCTGAACTACTGCTATAATATCCCGATTCCGACTCTTTTGTTCCATAATGTATGACTCCAGGTGAACTGGTTCCCCTATTAGCGCCTCTGTTGAGCGAGAGAAAAAAAAATTAAGTATAAATGAAAAGGGAGTTGTACATGTTGTACTGAAGAAAGCAAAAAATAGAAAGAAGAAAAAATAAATAAAAATGCCCTTCACAATTTTACCTTGTTCAGAAACTTTGTCGGCAAGTTCAATAATTTCCAAATAAATAAGCTATAATCAAGTTTCTACTATAAAATGCTTTCTCAAAATGCAGAAAATCAGAAACGAAACATTGATGCATAAATGAAAGTTAAGAAAATCAACTTTTAATGTTAAATGAAATATACTGAACGTTGATATTTTTGATAGCAATCCTTTCAATGATTCTAAAACTGTGTTTATACGGCGAGAAAATTACTCACATGCATATTGTACATTTGTATTATAACTACTTTTTTCCATTGAAGTGCATAGCAGTTTGTTTTTCCTTATTGCATGTGATGCTTACATTTCATTATGTAACTCATACTAGTCATTGTTGAGAATGTTTGCAGTGTGAGGATCTGGGCAATATTTCACCATTACCTGTTAATAATCATGATTATATTATTGTTTAATATGTATCCCCTGGGGGCCCTTAATTAATTGATGAATAAACACACGTTTACTCATGAGCAAATTTGTTACTGTGTGCAAAAGTAAATTTTCCACGCATTCTCCTGGGATTTCATTTACTATGAGTATATACATAATTATTTATTCTACAATTTTATTAAGTTTTTATCAAGATTCCATAAAATGGACTCATACTTGAGAAAGAGAGTTCTTTCATATGTATAAAGCATTGGAATTGCAGTATGATGCTTCCTTGATCGTAAATTTAAAATAAATCCACAATCTAGTTTGAGATGATGTTCTAAAAGAAAATGATGAACAATGGTTGCAGAATTTTAGAATTAACAAAAAGACTGATCTTTTTCCATCAAAATAACACCATAGATGAACCTTTTATCACACATTATTTGCTTTTTGCATATGAGTTAACAGATTTGCACCTGCCCCTGACTAGGTGCAAATATTCACACAGGAGTATTTTTTGCATATATATGTATATAGGTGCGTTTATACAGCTTACATGAGTATATTTACACATATGCAGATCATTTTATGAGTAAAGCTCGCCGTATAAACAGGGTATTATTAACTTGAAGAGACTATAAAAATAAAGCAGAGAAACAATATAGGTCCTCTAGTTCCTGAAACATAAAAGGGAAATAATTTGTCCTCAATATAAGGTAATCACGTGTTTTAAAATGTATATGATACAACAGTAAGTAAAGTCAGCAATATGAATCCCTTTGAATTATATGTTCTAGTATTTAAAAGGAGGTACGTCCCGTAATTTTTACTAAGACGAAAAAAGAAGAAGAAGAAAACAGTGAAATTATGTTTGTTGTTAACAAAAGAGCGGAAAACAGGGTGAAATCTGTAAAACAAAATCAGGAAAATCAGTATGTAAAAGTACAAATACTTTGTGATTTGTGGCGACAGCGAAAAATAAAACAGCTAGAAACAATAACAATAATGCTGGATTTCAAGTCAATAAATGCTTATCAAACGAGTTTCTTAAAAGATCGACCCTCGTAAATATCAATTCTCTAACACCAGGATGCAAACTGCAAGCACTCAGATTTAATACACAATGTATTAGTCAGTCACAGAACCGTCTAGGATCTTGTAAATACCACAAGGAATTAATTCTGCAAATGGAAAACAATGGATTTCTGTTGGCAAAGTATAAAAACTAGCTTTGTTTCTCGGCTAATAAGAACTTGGATTAATTATCTATTTCAAGTGAACAAGTACAGCTGAACCTGTTTATGAACAAAATGCTCTGCAAAAACAAAGTTAACGTTAATGTCAACCAAGTAAAAAAAAAGCTCAGTCTTTCTACCAAGCATCAATGAATTATACAAAATGGCAACAAAACCATTCATTCACGAATAATTGACCTAGCTTTTCCAATGGTTAATTCAAGGAAGTAAATTATTAAGTTTGGTTCCTTTACTGCAAATTAGACTAGCCACACCAAGATTATTTAAAAAATCTGGAAACTTAAGTCTGATCCCATTAGTATAAGCGATTAAATAAGTTATTCTCCAACAATAAAAATGCCAAATCAGCCGGTTGCTCTTCCATTATGAGCTTAAGGCTGTCCCTTTTGCAAAGTTTTAACCAATTCCGATAAAATAGTCAGAGGTTACACGATGATTATCAATGTTACATTACTATTTATCTAAACATGTAAAAGAGTCATGCAGTGTTTGTTCATAGTCATGCTCATGCATTTACTTACGCTGATTTGTGTCGTCTTATTAACAAAACAAAAAATTAAATATATCATAAACTTAAAGTACAACAGAAAAAAAATTACAACCTGTATTTGAACAAAAGGAACATGTGTTACCTTAGTAAAACAAAACTTGATGATCACACAAAATTGAGTTTTGGCAACAGAAAAAAGTTGAAATTTGACAACCGCAAATGTAGCAACTTGCAGTGCTGAAGAAATGCAATAATATACCTCATTAGGCGATTGTTTGAAGCACTTTTAATGCCAGCCGAATGCATTTCCCGCCGAGCTTCTTGATAAGCCCGGCCATCTCGGCCAGTTCTAAGGGCACGCCCATTTCCATCATACACGGATTCCTCCCCGTACTCACTGGCCTAAATACACACAGCAAAAGGTAACGTCACAGAATCCATATTCTGTTTGTTTTTACTATTTATAAACAAACAGATTTTAACCAATTATTGATTTGATATCCTTCCATACCTCCATACTTATTATATTTACTTAGTCAAACTACAGCTCAATGTTGTTAATTAAGAGAATTTTGTATAAAATATCCATATTAATTAGTCATCCACCGCAGTTTAAATCATGCTCTGAATGTTAATAAAATAAGGCAGTTATTGCATGTCTGTTAATGCAATCTTTGAATGAAAGTGCAAATAAATTAGTTTGCACAACGTAGTTACATGTTATACTAAAGAACTTTTTTGTAGCAATATCATATTCATAATGTTTTTTTGTGATGATTCCAGTAGCACTTCACAGAATAAAATGTCAAGTTGACAATGGTTTTACACTTCAGATCTCCTATTCCCCGTAGGATCTGAAAGAAATTCAACGGTTCTACGGAAGTCGGCAATAGTTGTTTTGATACATTTCAGGACATGTGAAACCAAACATAAACGGTTTGTAAATCAGCAGGTTTTTTTCCAACGATGATTGAAGGGTCTACTTGTAAAAAAAAATTAGGTTGGTTTCGTTGTGTTTGAGTTAAACGATTCTCACACGGCGGGTGTGATCGGTCGGCAGGGGATGCTCATTCCTCCATGGCACCTGATCCCACCTCTGATGTTTTGGAGGTCCGTGTTTGCTCTGCTCCTATTTTGTATTAATGGACTTTTGAGCTTGAATACTGTTCGTTATCTATATATTTCATGAAGAAAATAAAGATGCTTTAAACATTGTAAACGAAAACATTTTAACTGTACAAAACAAGTCTGTCTTGATTTTCCATTTTATCAAACTCGTGCAAAGATATGGCCTTCTTAACTATAACTTGTGATAGTAAGACAATAAAGTTTGAAAGCAAGTGATCTAAGAACAACCTGACAAATTATCGGATTAATTTATGTATAAATCAGTAATTTTTTTCTTGAAAAGAAATACTACGTAACCAGACACAGAAAACACAAATCGTTTGCATTGTTTTGTGTCAGTCGTGCGATTGAAAAGTTGCAGATTTTGTTATTATACACGAACAGCACTTTAAATGTTAAAACTGTAATGAAGAAGTGGTTAAAGTGATGCATAAAGTATGTGGTATTCTGTTTTAAAAGGGAAAAACGAATCGGAAGATTGAGAAAGTTCGGAGCACAGCAGGGTTGTTGCTGATTGCTTAATTCTGAGTACCGTTATTAACTGAACTGGCGTTTTTAGTACTTTCAGTATGTTATCTATTAACAAGAGATTGTGACAGTCTAAAATATGCTATACAAAAGTATTTTAAAAGAGATGTTGAAATATGTACTTTAATAACCTGTAATCTCCACCAACCATTTTCGAGCTTTTTTTATGACAATAATCAAACATCACCGATTTTATTAGTCCGAAATATCTGACGTTTTCCTGGCTTTTTTTACGATTTTGAAATTTTACGTGCCAGGAAAACGTCAGAACCGGCTTCATTACGAAAACTGGAAATTTCGACTCCAACCGGAGTTGATTTTCGATACTTGCGGACCGAATTCAATGCCGAACTCAGAATTTATCAATAGCACAATGCTTCTAGTACTCGCAAATATCGATGAAAAGAAAACATCACTCCAAATTTCGATACAGGACTTGGAAGATTTTAAAATGCACGAAATGAAAACAAATCTCGACAGTCAGATAAAATGTTTTCGTTGGATTGTATATTTTATAAACGACCCATAAAAACGATGGTGGTGAGTACTAAAAGTATTGTACTATTGATAAATTGTGAGTTTGACATTTAATTCGGTTCGCAAGTATCGAAAATCAACCCGAGAATGCCGCCTTCAGTTCGAGGCGGCAAATTCCCAGTTTTCGTAATGGAGCCGGTTCTGACGTTTTCCTGGCACGTAAAATTTCAAAATCGTAAAAAAAAGCCAGGAAAACGTCAGATATTTCGGAGTACGATTTTATCAGCAGGGTGAATCTTTTAAGCAAGATGTTTTATAAATACAGCAGGGAACAATGCCCCTAAACTTGTCAAAATTCAAACTGATTCATGACCTTGCAGTACAAGCAGATCCTGGTAAGAAGTTGGATTATGTTATTCAAGCCACAAATAAACAAAGTGCAAATTAAAGTGTCCATGTTCGTTTGTTCATGTTGAAGTTGTGATAAAGGTTAGGAGAAACAATTAGAAATTCAGACAGACAAATAAAACCAAAACATCCTATAACATTTCAATCATTGTTGTTTATGTAGTTTCAAATTGAAAGATTTTTTGTATTTTACAAAATTTGAACATCATCGGTCAATTTGTAAGAGCCTCTGTACTATGCGTGAATGGATCTTAATTCAATACTTCAATAAAGAGGAGATTCAGTTGTGTCACTTTAAAAATTTATAAATGAAATGACAAGAAAAACTACTACTCTTTGGATTAAAATAGATTGACTACATTTCTGAACTTCTGATAATCACATAGCCATGCAGGAAATACTTCATTTCAGGTAACAGACACACGGTGTTAAAATTAAGCATCATCAACAAAAAGCATGCTATTCCATTCTATTATCAGCACTTTGGCCTATTTATTACCAAATCCTGTCCATTTCTTAGGGGCTCTAACATCCGTTTGTGAGCAATCGGCTTTGCCCAGACAACAGCAGAACTATCATTTATCAGAGAACCAGTTGCCAAGTCATCGGGAATCTTTGCATGTGTAATTATCTCTCCCCTTTTGAGGGGGTATTTAGGAGGCAACGACGCAGAGAACTTGACTGCTTTTGGGGGTGAGGTTTGACTTTCAGACTCCACATTTGGAATGTTGGAGTGATTTATTGTCAGATATTGCTCTATTCTAGGAGTGGTTTGCTGTAAAATAAATGTTTAATTGCATCCTATTGACTTTTACTGAACTTGAAATAACTTGATATTTATAATCAATAGAAGCACTCAACCATAGTTTTCAATCACTTTTTCTAATGAATGATGTCATTCATTCCTTTCTCCGGAGACCTACTCATGGTCCAAACACCTGCTTCAGAATCAGATTAGTTCAAATTACTTAATGTGACCATCACCAAGATACATCCATCATCAATATATGTTCTCAATCCCCAAAGAAAAATATTATGAAAGCAACCAACACCTTGTGGGGTGACTTAATAAGTTCAATGTGCCATAAAAGTGCAAAATTATAATATAGTGAAGCAACTAAACAAAAGAAAAATAAGTAAAAATGTAAATACATGCTATATACATGTATACTCTATATATTCTTTATAACAGTGATTTTAATTTACTTTTAAACTACATGATTGAATGAAAGACTCTAATAAAATCAAACAGAGACTATTGACTACTGACCTGGTAGGTGCTGGTGGTGGTGGTCGTGGAACGCCCTCTGGCGTAGGAGTTAGGTTGACGCCCACTTATGCTCGGAGGGGTTCCACCAATACCTGTTAAGTAAAATATAAACAATCAACATTCTAACTAAAGTAATCGAAAACATTACATTTAGTTATAGAATTTTTTTTTTTATAAATAAATATTAAAATAGCTAAGGAGTTTCAATGAGTGAGAACTACATTCTTAAAAATAAGCGTGCTGTTTCAAAAACTAACATCTACATGTATATGTACAGTCATGTAGTTGTTTTCTATGCTTCAATCATTGCTACATGTAATTTATACAAGAGGCCATTGGGCCACTACGCTCACCTAAGTAACTTTGGCCTTGTTGTTTTTCACCTGATTTCCCCCCTTGTAGTACTTATTGTGGCCCCGCCCTAACCCCCGGGGTCATGATTTGAACAATTTAGAATCTTACACTACCCCAGGATGTCTCCACTTAAGTTTCAGCTTTTCTGGCCCAGTGGTTCTTGAGAAGAAGATTTTTAAAGATTTTTTACTACATATTTCAATGTAAAACTTGGATTCCCTATTGAGGCCCCGTCCTACCCCCGGGGGTCATGATTTGAACAATTTAAAATCTACACTACCCCAGGATGCTTTCACATAAGTTTCAGCTTTTCTGGCCCAGTGGTTCTTGAGAAGAAGATTTTTAAAGATTTTTTCTACATATTTCAAAGTAAAATTTGGATTCCCTATTGTGGCCCACCCTACCCCGGAGGTAATGATTTTTATAATTTAGAATTTACACTACCCCAGGATGCTTCTACTTAAGTTTCAGCTTTTCCAGTCCAGTGGTTCTTGAGAAGAAGATTTTTAAAGATTTTTCTACATATTTCAATGTAAAACTTGGATTCCCTATTGTGGCCCCGCCCTACCCTTGGGGGGTCATGATTTGAACAATTAAGAATCTACACTACCCCAGGATGCTTCCACATAAGTTTCAGCTTTTCTGGCCCAGTTGTTATTGAGAAGAAGATTTTTTAATGACCCCACCCTATTTTTGTCTTTTCTTGATTATCTCCCCTTGGAAGGGGGCTTGGTCCTTCATTTTAACAATTTAAACTCCCCTTCACCCAAGGATGCTTTGTACCAAGTTTGGTTAAAATTGAGCCAGTGGTGCTTGAGAAGAAGTTGAAAATGTGAAAAGTTTACAGACGGACGGACAGCTAGACAGACGGACGGATGACGGAAAACAGGTGATCAGAAAAGCTCACATGAGCTTTCAGCTCAGGTGAGCTAAAAAGTCATTAGTCATATCCAATATTGGGTACATGACATACATGTAGGTTGAAAAAGTGAAAGAGCTGAAGTGGTCTGCAACTTAAAAGATATAGTTTCTTGACTATTCATTCACCTACATTTTACAGAACTTTAATTTGTTAGTAGTGTTACTATCAACATTTCTTTTAAGATTAAGATTCCAAAGGATTAAATGATTATTTTACTCAATCTGACTTAGTGGTATTTGAAAAATCAATTATAAGATTTTAATGACACAAAATCAGATCCTACAAACTTCTGTAATTGAACACTTGTGGGGCAGTGTATATCATTTGCTGTAACAATATAAGGAAACCTTAGTGTTTACAAAGAGGTATAACTTCATATCTGAAAAGGTAATTAAAAACGTAGGGTACTCATAAAAAATATCTTATACAGTCAAACCTCATTATCTTGCACTCAATGGGACTGAAATTAAAATTTAATATACATGTACATGTATATCCAAGGATTTGAGAAAACAAGGTAAAAACATAAAGAAAAAGTGGATGGGACTGCAAAATCACTTTGACATATCCCTGGTAATTGAGATATCTAGTTCAACTATATTTGTAAATTAGTTTGACATACTGGCTTTTTTCTTGCTAAAAGAGAGGATAGCTTGAAGGAAAGCTTCATGATAATTTTGTGTTTTAGCAATTAAAAAAAAGTCTGTACAAACTGTTTTACAAATTTCTAGAACATATTTTTTTTAGTATCCTATATCCTTAAGGTCCCTCAACCCTCCATTCAATCATATAAATTTTGCTTTAATGAGAATGATTTTCCAAAAGATATCCTAATTGTAATTGAAATGTGAACAATTTCAGTATACCTTGCAGTGCAAAAATTTCAAAGAAATTGGCTTTAATTTTTTTTTGTGAAGAAAAATATTCATTATCCCATTGAGAGTTATCTCTTTTTTTTTTCAGATTATCAATGAACTTTCAGACTGTATATTCCATACCTCAATACCAAACAAACATGGCTCCTATACAGCCTCCAAGATCATAAACTTAAAACAGATTAAATCAAAATTTTGAATATCTTAAGATTCCAAACATACCTAGAAAGCTTGCAAGTTTATATACTGAAATGCAAAAAAACGCAACAAGCAGTAATCTGCAAACATTTGAATTCTTTATCTAATGATTTTCAAAAATAAATACGGTAAGGTAAAACTGGATTTAAAAACATCAGAGATTTGACAAAAATGTTAAATGATTATCTTTTAACTTTAGAAACTAACAAATGACTGTTAAAACAACCCCAACCCCGCCATTCAATTACAGCATGCAAGACTGCCATGCACAACAGTTGCAGCTTATATGTAATTGATTTCTACGATGCAATAGGTTCATCAATCTCAAGATCTGAGCGAAAAAAAAAAAATTCTTTGCCATTTTTAAATGCCCGTTTTTCAGATGTATAGGTCGAACTTTCTTTAGCCTAGTGCAGTTAGTAACCCTTGGACTTTCAATATACATGTAAGGACTGTCATTCATGCTAATAATATGTAAGAGCCTCTTGAGGCGTGATGTAGTGCATATTTTCATCTGCAACTCTCCATCACCTTTGAGATTTTCCAGCTAGAGCAATGGAAATGTGTATACTTAAGTCATTTTCAGGAAGCTTTGGCATCGCTTACGGAAAAGAAAGGAGAATTTATTTTTCTGAATATTGCTGCATTACTTATGATGAACAGATACAAAAACAAACCCTTAAAACCCCATTTTATTGCCAAATGTTTTCTTAAACATGCAATTTTTGATTTCTGTTAAGTGGACTAAAACTTAACTTCCAGTAATGGTATGAAAATCATTCCACTGATAAATTACAGATATTTACAAAGTAATGAAGATGTCCTTATTTTTTAGATACAAAATTATATCCTATATACAGTTAAACTTCGTTATCTCGAAGTTGACGGGACCGTTGATGAACTTCGAGATATCCAGGGGTTCAACATATCGAGGGTTATAATTCTAATGAACTTCAAATAAACTTAGTGCAGGGAACATGTTCTTAATAGTAGAAACATGTCAAATTCCTTCTTGTTTGAAATCTGTATACGTTTTCTTTAATATACATGTAATTAGCATTAAAGGGATTTTTACATCCTCTTTATAATTCACAAAATGAAAACTTTGTATAATATGCACAGACGTATAATCCTTCTACCAACCCGGCAAGTCAACCGCTAGCATCGTTTCCCAAAGCATACATAACCGGATATCGTCTATGCATTGTAAATTTAAAACTGGTCGCTGTCAGAATAACTCTAACGAAATATACAATTGTTTTATTGGGAAAACATGTTCATACGTGTATAATGATTTAAATAAAATATTTTACCATAATAAAATCAAATGCAAAAGAAGAAACACGCACTTTTGTTTAACTACAGAACACTGAATCACAGGGCACTAGAGCAAAAATTTTCACTGCGACACACGCTCACATGATGGTGTGCACTGACGGTTGTAAATTCTGCGCGCTTATATACACGTGTAGGAAAAATAAATTCTAATTGCATTAAATTACAGAATTTTGTTTCACTTTGATGTTTATAATTTTCGCTTTCATATGCATAAACTATGCAAGCGCGCATAATACACATAGCATTAAATAGCGATTATCAAGATAAACGTACCCCAGCCACGAAACAATTAATGTGTCATCCACGCGTATGCATAAGACTAATACACATAACCTTTGGCTTGCATAATTAAAATCAAGGTAAGCCATGCATACACCTCGTATAATTATCGAGCTATTATTTGTTGATCAGAGGAACATAGGTAACCCGTGCTTGACAGACAGGTGGCTGTCAATAGAGCGGTCAGTTTACCTAACGGACTTGATCATCAGAGCGGAAAATTATCCTGACTTCGAGATATCGCATGTGATTTTAATAAATGGGTACACAATTTTACTTCGAGATAACCGGGGTATTCGACATTACCGTGTTCGACATAGAGGGGTTTATTTTAATCATTTATAAAGCAAATTTCGTCGGCCTTACTTCGACATATCCGTGGCATTCGAGATATCCGTGTTCGAGATTTCGAAGTTTAGCTGTATAATATTTTCCCCTAAAATAGGATGTTGCATTTCTTTTGTGTTTCAGTACATAATATTCAAATACAAACAAATTGTAAAAATTTTGTTTCATTTTCAAAATTATTTCAAAAGTTATACTAATTTGAAATTTTAATTGACTTAAGTCTTTTCTCAGTTTTATGATCTTGAGAACAATTTTATGTCACTGTGAATTTCATAACTACTAAAGGCTACATACAATTTTGAGTAAAATTCTATAAAAAAAAATTCTCAAAAGATATCTAAATTGATGGACTGTTCCATCCTACACAGAAAATAGATTTCCGTGTATTACCTTGTGAATTTAAAGTAACACTTCAGCTATAATCATTCTCTTCAAAATCACTCTAACATAAAACAAAGGAAGCTGATCAAATCACTCTAGCCTACTTAAATGTATAAACTGTTGTGATTTATTGAGCAGGAAGATAACATCATTGCTCAAGTTTTCAAAATCAATAACCACAAATCTTGTGTCTTGCTAGAAACTTTATGCATGTGAAAATTATTCCCTGAAGGTGCTTTATGGGGGCTCTCCTTTGGAAATACAGATTAATAGACTCCCACTGTATAAAAAAACAATTTAAGATTTTCCACTCACAAGCTCAGTTCTCATAATCACATTCTTTGTCTGTGTTATTTTATGCCAAAATTTCTAAAATTTACAAAAACATTGAATCTGCAGGAAGATTAAGAAGATGGAAATGGAACACTTACAGAACTGCTAGCATCTCATAGTCATGTACCGGTAAATTTAGCATTTCAGACATATTTTTAAATTAATTTCTGTGTCCAATCTTTAATGATTGTAATAGCACGATAACGTACGAAATAAAGATCATAAGGTATTCATGTACATACATGTATACATATATATCTGACTGAGGGGACAATGATAATTTACAACTGTGCTACCTATGACTTGCAACCATATTATATATTGATACCTGTTTGATAACTCAGACATACAAAACTTGTTAAAATTTCAATTAGTTAATCACACCTTTAGTACAAATTTAATCTTGACAGTTAGTCAGATTAGTATTTATAACATGGGCAAGATATAAAAAAGCCAAGCTAAAAACACAGCTGTACCAACAATATACACGAAAACAGACGAGACTAGCCTCCGCATATACCTGGTCACAATATAGTACAGGAGGACGACTTAGGAGGAGGGTCTCTTGTCGAGGTTTTAGTTGATTTTTTACTCCCTACAGTTACAAAATGTTTACATGGTAGTCAAGCATCTCTATCTATCTATATAGTAATGAAAATCAAAATTCCAAGCACCCATTACAAATATTACAAATAGTATTAAAAGCTCATGATGTACTGAACATTCATTCACCACCAACATTGTTGTTTTTTTTAAAGCTATAACAGTTACCTTGAAATAAAATATTTAAAAAATGACAAATTTAAATTGCATTTCTTCATCCTATTTGCCTGTGCAATTAATATAATTTTCCTTTTAGTTAATACATATGTATACACTCTGTCTACATAAAATTGATTTCTTTTATACATGTACATAAAGACAACTAAATCATAAATGATACTTATTGTTATTTTAAAAAATCAATAAAATAGCTCAATTATACATGTTATACTACCAGGGTAATTCAGTAAATGCGATTGATAAAGAAAAGAAATGAATCAATAAATTTGTTTGTCCTGTACTTAGCATGCCAGACTTTATGATAAAAGTCCTACTTTAGGTGTCAACTGAATCAGTGTAGATGTTTCGGATACATAGAGCTTACCGTAATGAGTACTTGTTTTTCTGCAGTAATTTGTAAGACTTTTAAGGACGATGATAGATAAATGCTAATTTGTGTTGTGTAGAAGCAACTTAATGTTCCTATTGACTTTATAGTAAAATGTTAAGATATGCTTCAAGCTGTTAGCATGCAAACAACCCTCTCCCTAATGTACGAGTGGAACCTCACCTGTGCCTCTCCCCCTTGATCCTCCAGGGCTTGCCCTAGTAGTAGCTACTCCTCCATACCCAGGAGAACTTTCCGTTTTGGCCTTTGGTTTGGGTGGCTGGTACTGAAAAGAAATAGCAGGAATTCTACTCTGAATATTTTTTTTAATTTAATTGTCAGTCTGAGAATATATATAAATTCAATTACCATTTAGAAACTACAAAAGAAATGAACCAGCTTTGTGGCAATAAAGTCCTGCAATTCCTGCATAAAAAAGTTTTGGGTTTGAACAACAGGTTTATAATGCAAATTCCCTACAATTATGTTGTCACAATGACTTTCATTCTAGGTTATAAGACATGCTCTGCTCTTTAAATTTGTGTGTCATTTGAGATGTAATGCCTCTTGTGTTGAAGATATGCCACAGTTACAAAACACAAATATGGATTAAAGTGCAGGCACAGGAAGTGACAATGATTCATATATACTTATATAAATATACACCTTGAATGTCAGAATAAATACCATAAGCATGTATAGTTCAGCTACTCAATCTAAGGGCAGTAACTCTGTATATCTACCTGTGTCCTTATATTCTGTTTAGCGGTGGCCTTTGGATCTGCTTTAGGTTTGTTAGGCATTCTTTGCTGTTGAGTCTTACAGAACTGTATGTGCCTCTCAGCAGCTTTCTCATTGAAACGTCGGGAACAATAGGGACATTGCACATAATCTGTCAAAACAAAGGGTACATGCAAAATAAAGGGATTGATGTTAATAAGGAATGATACTAAAAACTGATGATGAGGGAATCACATGTACAACTTGGTGTAAAACATTTTTAAAAATTGGTATTTCTTTAATCCATTTTCCCATTTTTTTTTTTAACAAGAATTAGTGAAACAAATTTTCCAACTTTCATTCATGTTCATGTATATCACCTGTGAAGAAGTAAATATTCCATATCTAAAATCTAGATTTTAAACAAATTAACATACATGTAGTATCTTCATATTTTTCTGATATTCCAATCTTTCTAACCCTTCATACCTGGATTTATTGAGGGTGGTGGAGGTGGAGGGAGGGGTTCTCCTCGCTGCATAGCAACACTGACTCCCCTAGCGGCCCTGACTGTGTTAATGAAGTCCTCATGTTTGGCTCGCCAATTACTTTTGGGGGGCTTCACTTCCTAAAATACCACCAAACATTTAAATTTTGGAGTTTTAGAACAACATAAATTTCTTTTTCAGATATTATAAAATCATTATTAATAAGGCTATAACATTAAATTATTTTCTCTCTTTTAAAATGTATGGAGGCCTCGTTATATTACCAAATAAAAAACCTGTCCTAGAAATAGCACATCAAATGATACACTCGATCCAATTTCTCATTTTATCACTATGCACTTGAAAAGCAATTGTCTTTACACTGCTTTAATTTGTTTTAGTCTCTTTCATATTTTCTCTATGATAGAAATATCTCTGCTTTATGAGCAACCATCACTTTAGAATTAATTGTCTAGGTTTTATTAATCATTATCATTTTGTAGGGAGATAAAACCGTTCAATTGCCAAGTAATAGTGTAGCATATTAAAAAAATAAATGGAAATTGCATCCCAACTCCTACACAGAATGAAATTGAATCCAATACATTATAGTTATCTTATTTCAGCACTTTTCATTCAAGCCTAACGTTATTCATGTGAACAGATACATGTAACATTTTTGTTCATGCCTGTATTAAATTCCAAATGAAATTTTGAAACTGTGCAGTTCATTTTGTGAAAGTTGTTTAAATTTACATGCCAATACATGTATCAGTCACTAATATTCCTGGCCATGTCACAACTGAAAATTTGGGTCAAATAATTTATTCCAAGTTAAAAATCCCTTCTGTCCATATCAGATTTGCTGAGTTATAAAAATAAATTACAAGAAATTCACTAAAATTTCAACAATACCTTTCTTTGAGCTTGTTTAATTTGTTTGTAGGATAAGTCTGTCCCATCTGCTCTCTGTTTGGCTGAATCAAAAACCTTGGGTTTTTTCTTTGCTGCTTTTATACATGCAGGTTCATGTTTTGCCTAAAACACATCATACTTCTATTTCACCTTTTGGAAAATAATTAACACAAATTACATACTCTGACATATGTGACAGATACATGTATATTAAATAAAACAATGTTTATAATACGTGGGGATATGGCAATCGAATAAATTTTTGTAACATATCGATAAGTCGTAAAAAAAAAAAAAAAAACCAACCTAGAAATATGTCCATAGGACATGAATGCCCCGCCAAGGGTATATTAGTAATGCAACATGAAAATTTGTATTAGTGTATGAAATTTGATAAGAATATCTTGAAAAGTTCCTTTAAAATTTTAATTGAAATCTAAAAAGTTGGATATAGATGAAAAATTCTCACCAAATTATGTATAAGTGCATAACTTACATAAATATATCTTAAATGGTTTCTTTAAAATTAAGCAAAATGCAAATCTAAGAAAAGTGGGGTCAAGGTCACAGGAAAGTTCAAGGTCAAATGTTTTTGATGCAGTTGAATACTTCGCACAAATACGTATCAGCATATTTAAGTTTGATAAAAATATTTTGAATGGTTTATTAAAAACTGAGCTAAACACTAATTTAAAATAAATGAAGTTAAGGTCAAAGGAAAGGTCAAGGTCAAAAAATGTTGATGCAGTTGAAAAGGTAACATCAGTATGTATTAGCATATGAAGTTTGATAAAAATATTATATTTTCTTTAAAACTGAGTTAACACAAATTGAGAAAAGTGAGGTCAAGGTCAAAGGAATGGTCAAGGTCAAAAAATGTTGATGCAGTTGAATAGCTCTCATCAGTATGTATCAACATATGAAGTTTGATAACACTGTATTGAATTGTATCTTTAAAACTAAGCTAAACACTAATTTAAGAAAAGTGAGGTCAAGGTCAAAGGAAATGTCAAGGTAAAAAAATATTGATGTAGTTGAATAGCTCTTAACAGTATGTATCAGCATATGAAGTTTGGTCAAAATATCTTGAAAGATTTCATTAAAAATGAGCTAAACACTAATTTAAGAAAAGTGAGGTCAAGGTCAAAGGAATGGTCAAGGTCAAAAATGTTGATGCAATTGAATAGCTTACATCAGTATGTATCAACATTTGAAGTTTGATATAAATATCTTGAATGGTATCTTTAAAACTGATTTAAACACTAATCTAAGAAAAGTGAGGTCAAGGTCAAAGGAAAGGTAAAAAAATGATGATGCACTTGAATAGCTTACATCAGTATGTATGAACATATGAAGTTTGATTACACTACCTTGAATGGTATCTTTAAAACTGAGCTAAACACTAATTTAAGACAAGAGGCCCAAGTGCCTTAACGGTCATCTGAGTATAATACAACAATTTAGAGGATCCATAGGGTATAAAATGAACTGAAAGGTGAAGCTTTGTTGCCCAAAAGCTAGAAAAATAGGGTGATCAGGATCAACAAAATAATTAGTCGTGTGTTCATTAACAGTTCATAAATTAGGTTCTAATCTGTTCCCCATTTATCACTATCACCACACAGAATATTAACAAAATATCAGTGATTCTGTACTATTTTAACTCCTTGATGAAATCTCTTACATTGGACTCTCTTAGTCTTTGATGTACATTGAATAAGACAAGTTATTTTTCTCTCATTTTTATTTATCTATAACTTACAAGTCTATCACTTAAACTTTAAAAATACTTTTTGTATTATACAATAAAAAATCTTGCATAATTCTCCTATTCTATTAACCTTTCAAGTACATTATTTACAGTGATTAATTATCAAAAGTAAATGGCATAGGGGAATAACTCCTCACAGTTGAATACAAATTAATAGAGCCCTGGCCAGGACCAGAACACTTGACCAAATGGTCCAGATGTTCAAAAATCTTTATTAAAACTTTTACTCTTTTTGCCTCTGATATGCCCAGGTGCAGAGGAGATTTTCAAAGAAATAATGTATTTTTACTACAGATTCACTATATCGATAGAGCCCCTCCCCCCCCCGGCACCAGAACCCCTAACCTTGGGGCCATGAATTTCACAATTTTGGTAAAGTCACCCTTGCTCTTCATAACTATGTATTCAATTTGTTTCAATAGTACCCAGGAGTAGAGAAGAAGATTTTTCAAAGAAATAATGCACTTTCACTATATGATCTATATAGCCCTGCCCTAGCACCAGAACCCCTGACCCTGGGGCCATGAATTTCAAAATTTTGGAAAAAGCATCCTTCTGCGCCATTACTATGCACTTAGTTCGTTTAATTAATACCCAGGAGCAGAGAAGAAGATTTTCAAAGAATTAATGCATTTTCACTATATAATCAATAGAGCCCCGCCCTACCACCAGAACCCCTGACCCAGGGGCCATGAAATTCACAATTTTGGAAAAGGCATCAATGCTCATCATAACCATGCACTTAGTTTGTTTATATAATATCCAGGAGCAGAGAAGAAGATTTTCAAAGAATTAATGCATTTTCACTTTTTAATCAATAAAGCCCTACCCTAACACTAGAACCCCTGCCCCTGGGGCCATGAATTTCACAATTTTGGAAAAATCATCCTTGTGCACCATTATCATGCACTTAGTTTGTTTAAATAATACCAAGGAGCAGAGAAGAAGATTTTCAGAGAATTAATGCATTTTCACTATATAATCAATAGAGCCCCACCCTAACACCAGAACCCCTGACCCAGGGGCCATGAATTTCAAAATTTTGGTAGAGGGCTCAATGCTTATTACAATCATGCCAACAGTTTGACTGCTTGATGTCCAGGAGCAGAGAAGAAGATTTTCAAAGAATTAATGTATTTTCACTATATAATCAATAGAGCCCCGCCCTAACACCAGAACCCCTGACCCAGGGGCCATGAATTTCACAATTTTGGAAAAGGCATTATTGCTTGTCATAACCATGCACTTAGTTTGTTTAAATAATACCCAGGAGAAGAGAAGAAGATTTTCAAAGAAATAATGCACTTTCACTATATGATCTATATAGCCCCGCCCTAGCACCAGAACCCCTGACCCTGGGGCCATGAATTTTACAATTTAGGTAGAGGGCCTAATGCTTATTACAATCATGTCAACAGATTGACTGCTTGATGTCCAGGAGTAAAGAAGAAGATTTTGAAAGATTGCATCAATTTTGGTGGTTTTAGCCCCACCCCTGGGGCCCCAGGGGGGCAGGGACCATGAAATTCGCAATTTTTGTTCCCCTTCACCCAAAGATGCTATATGCCAAAATTGGTTGAAATTGGTTGAGCGGTTCTAGATAAGTTGAAAATGTTCAAAAGTTAATGCATGATGCACGACGAACGATGACGGACAAAAACGGATAGCAATAGGTCACCTAAGTGACTCAGATGACCTAAAAAGTGAGGTCAAGGTCAAGGTCAAAAATGTTGATGCAGTTGCATAGCTCTCATCAATATCTATCAGCATATGAAGTTTGATATAAATATCTTGGATAGTTTCTTTGATACTGAGCTTTAAACAGAGCTAAACGCAAAGAGTGATGGAAAGACAGACAGAAGGACGGAAGACGGTCATGACAAACACTATATGCCCAGGCCATATTCATGGTGGGGCATAAAAAAACATGCTAAACTATGATAATTAAAATGCTTTACTTTTAATTAAAGTAGAAAGAGATATCAACATCAATGTTTGTTGTGCATATCACTGACAATTCTGAGTCATTTTCACTGACATTCTTACTGCTAGCTTTTATCTCTCAGTGGCTATTCTTATTTTGTTTGAAATGATTTTACCTACCACTGAGCAACAACTTGAACTAGAAATGTGTCCATAGGGCATGAATGTCCTACACACATTTCATTAGTAATGTAACATGAAAATTTCTAATAGTGGCACTGTGCATGAAGTTTAATGAAAATATCTTGAATAGTTTCTTAAAAAATGAAGCTTCATAACATCTTGAATAGTTTCTTTGTAACTAAGATACATGTAAATGCAAAGTATGACAGAAGGACAGATGAAAGGACAGAAAGACATAACAAACACTATATGCCCCACCATGAATATATGGCTGGGGCATAAAAAAAATCACACTAAATGCACAGATGTTCAAGGGAGAGGATGTTACTTTCATGCAAATTTAAAAGTTGTGTGAATTTCCCTCTATTATTTTCACACCATCACTAAATGGATAGTTGGATATAAAAAAGCTAAGAAGTGTAGATCGAAATTTGTTATGTTTTTTTTTTTGTTTTTTTTTGTACAATTGGTTGTGAAATTTTGTACAACCAAAAATATGTTCAAATGTTTAGCTAAAAGTCAAGGAAATAATAGTTACAAGTACATGGCCATAGGAACCTGGGGGGGGGGGGGGGGGGGGTGCACCCCCCCCCAAAAAAAAATTTTGCTGATATATAGATTACTATAGTAAACATAGATAATATATGATTGTGCCCCCTCAATAAACAGTCTTTTGCTTGTCAGGAAATTTTTTGGTAGTGCCCCCTCAACTGTCAACTGAAAATGTACGGCTGTGCCCCCCCTCCCCCCCCCCCCCCCCCCAAACTGAATTTGCTTCCTATGGGCCTGAAGTAACATGTACATTGTATAATAATACATACAAAGAGAGCTTCTAATTTATGTCATTGCAGTTTTTTTTTGTGGCTGATATTTTGACTATAAGTCAGCATAATGAAAAGAGAGGATGTAAAAGCCATAAAAGGAGTAAAAATGATCAAAATTAAGTGAAAAATGTGAAAAAACAATCTCCCAATGTTTCAAGTCAATTAAAGATAGATAATTGATTTTCATCCAACTCAAGACAACCAAATTAATGTGTCTGCATGATTAGGCATTTTATAAACTTCTGTTTTATTACCTGTTACTGGAGTTTATAGGCAAAAAAATGTAAAAAATTATTATAAAAGTTATAAACTAGTATTTGGAATACAATAACACTGCGAGAATGACATCACAATGCTACTGAAATAGGGATGACATCCTCAGTCTATAGATCAGTCATGTGACAGACAATAGATCGACAGTCAATTAATAGATAGAAATGCAAAACAAGTGAAACAAACTATAGAGACAAAGTACAGAGTATATCATAAAAGAACAAATACAGGAGTATCAGGTAATAAATACAAATAAAATACAAATACAAAATATTTACCAGAGACTCTGGAACAAACTGCCTGCCACATTGCCGACATGGCCTCCTAGCAACATTACGATTGGCTACAAAAAATAAACAGACAATATATGAGTATATTTACATGATTTAGGCCAAAAAAAATAATAGTCTTGTTTCCTGCTACAAGCCTGAAAAAAAATAGGGTAGGTAGGTAGGAAAATTATTTTATATTTTTATTTTATTTTTTTCCAACAGCATTTTTTAGGATAAGAACTAATACAAGATCAAATTAAACATGTCACAGGTCAATATTGTCTTTTAAAATTAAATTTCATGTCTTTTTATGCACAACTCAAGTGGTATTTTATGAAAGTCCATATTTAAGACAAGAATTTCATGAAATGCTTGTTTTGTGTTAACACGGAAACCGATTACGGTGACAGAACGCTGAAATTCCGGAAATTCCCAATTTTTTTTCTTCCAAAACTTAAAAAAAAACTTTAGGGTCGGGTGCAAAAAAAATAGGGTAGGTCGGGTAGCAGGAATTAAGACTATTATTTTTTTTGGCCTTACATCCAATAGATATTATCTCCTTTATTTCATAAAAATAAAAATCATTTGTTTGTTTGTTGTTTAACGTCCCTCTTGAGAATTTTTCACTCAATACATATGGAGACACCATCACTTGCCGGTGAAGGGCTGCAAATTTTGACTTATACTCGGCACTCAGGGCCATTGAGCAGTGAGGGATCTTTTTCGTGCCAACACCTACTGCAACCGCAACCTCGGTATATACGGTCTCATCCGAAATACCAGTCTCCACGTTCTGTAGTGGATTCAAACCTGCAACTTAAGGATCAGCTCCTTACACCATGACTCTAGAGCAAATGCTCTAACTACTGTGCCATGTGGGTGACTTTATCAATACGTAAACATCCCTTAGATTTCTTGAGCATTGGCTCTTCCATCAATGAAACATACAATGACATATATATGGGAATAAACGTTGCAGCTATTTTTTCTGCGACAGCTGCAACAATAAAATTCTGGTCAAAAGAGTTAGAAATGTTATAGAAAGCAATAGGCCTTTCACTAATTGTGGAACTTTGAATGCAGAGTTACACTACAAACAATTTGAAAATATATACTGACAACTGAACAATTTACTAAGTGTCAAGTGTATAGAAACATTTTTTTATGAATTGGTAATGCATCAAAGACCATGTTTGAGAAACTTTCATGTTTAAACATTACAGAATGTGTTGTCAAGAGTGTCCAATGGTTACAAAACATGTTGATATCAATTCATGAGTTAAATTTGATCAAATGGAATGAAACTGCACACATCAGCAAAATACTAGTAGTACTAGTAGTAAATGTTAATTGTTTTTTTACAGATGATAATGTGTAAAATTCATATGAAAAATTGTGACATTGTTTAAGCATTAATTTTTGAATGACCCTCATAGTGTATATCAATGATTCATTTGCATTTATGTTTTTCCTATCTCTGAAACTAGAATGACCTATCAAATTATCAAATGTCAATTATATTGCACAGTAAAATACCTGTGTTACAAGGAATTTATTGACAACTTCATTACCTTGGTGAGAAATATTTATGGAGTTTCTAACAACAAAAACTTTCTAGATTTATAATGTATGCGTAAAAAGTAAACTTTATAACTTTAATTGGCATACAGATTTCTGATGAAGTTTTGAAATGCCAATAAATCCTGAATCATATTTACAGACTTTAAAGGAGTTTACATTAAACATTCATTTGACAGAACATATACAAGCTGATATCTAATATTTAAATACCTAGTGCTCAGCATGCTCAGGTAGATTAAACATTCGTGATGAAATAAATCAGATTTTTAATTTAAAGGTATTGCTCCCAGCTTAATGAGTTACTTATCTTGAAGCTGTTTTTTGTCCATACTCAATCACCATACAGAAAAATGTTCAGTATCATTTAAGGTATCCCAATAAACCTTAACTAAGGTGTAGAAATCTTAGGGACTATATAATACTTAAATAATAACAACTGTAATCAGTATATAAATTTATTTCTACCCTTCTTTATCCTCATATAGATTTACAAAAATAAAATTATACATTTCAAAACTTTTTGAGCTTTGTATGCTGATCCTACCCCCCTCTCCCCTAAAAAAATCATTGCTCAGATTTTATTGCCATATCTTCATTAATAAAAGCAAATTTTAATTGGAAACCCAAATCATACTATATACACCAGTATATATTTGTCATTTAGCATGCTAAAAGAGGGCCAGAATTTAATCATCATTATCTAATTACATAGGAATTGACAGGAAAAGAATTTCCTGATACTCCTACATGTATTTCAACATGTTTAAATACCAAAAAGTCAAAATGGCAGGCCTTTCAAAATCTGCCAGTACCTGGTATTTCTACCCAGCTGAAATCATGAGTGTACCAGTTAAAATATTTGATGGAGAAAAATTTGACAACATATTTACTTAAAATCACTTCAACAAGGTTTTTATCTCCTATTTTTGTAAAAGTATCATCCGCTTATTATTGATCTTTCGAAAGCCCTGAAATGGCATGCCATGGGAAAAAAAAATTATTTTCATCCTAGACCACAATAAAAGTATGTAATAAAATTTTTCGAGCTACATGTACACCAATGTTACTCTACATTGTAGTATAAAGATAATAAATAGATTTTTGTCTACATTTTATTAGATGAACATTAATAAATATTTTAACATGTTTAACATCTTTCTTACAAAAAATACAAAATAAAAAATCAAATTACGAATGGGCATCAGGGAAAAAAGCTGTTTCGGGGGGGTTGGGGGGGGGGGTTGGAGTGAATGAACTCTGAATCATGTTAGATTTGACTCAAGTGTAAAAATTACATTTATATCTCCACCTTTCACAGTTTCACTGCATCTCAGCATGTTCAATTTTCATCCATTCCTCAATATCAATAATTACACAACTATACACATGTGAGAAGAAGCATGAGATATGCATGCAAGGATACCAAAAAAATTGTGCAAATTAGCTGCAAATCACTTCAATTCTACAAAATATAATATAAATCTTCTGTATTTATTTATTTATATTTTTTGGTTTAGGTTTTTGTTAGTTAATTAGTTTGCTTGTTTTTTTTTATTTTTTAAAATTGTCCTGTCTTGACATGCTAATAAATACACTCCCTCACCACAACGCAGTTACAAACTTTGCAACTAAGATTTCTAACAAGACCTATTTTTAAATTAGTATATAGGTCCCTGCCTCTGACCAGCTGCTGACCACTGGGGCTTGTGTACAGAAAAATCAGTTAGAAAACTTCGTACCACGGAGGAAAAAAATAACGTTTTTATTCCTCCGAGCTACTAACTTTACTAGCTTTTTTTTTCTTTTTCCACACAAGCCCCTGTATACTAACCAGCGGATTCTAGTCTAGAGCTCATCTCATTTCACAAGCAAAACAAATTATGTTTATAATGTTGTAAGTGAATATTCCAATATAACTAAAAGTTCAATAATAATTAAACTTTCTTTTATCTATACAAAAACATTATATTCGAAAAAACTTCGGTAGTAACCAAATTGTTTACCGTCGTAATCCTCCATCTTCAAAAATATTTGGTGTTCAGCAGTAAATAAGCCGGTAAAAGAAATTAAAAGTTCAATTTAAAAATCTTAAGGATAGATCATTATCGTTAATAGAAAATGTATAATAATATATGCACAAAAATGCACAGAGATTTGAAAATATTTACTGAAATAATATTCTATTTGCTGCAAAGCAGGTGTCTGCTACTTCCGGTGTATACTAATTTATGAAAACAGAAAAGAAGTAATTTGAAGTTACGTTTAGAAGACACTGTACTGTGTACGATTTGTTGGTTGGTACAACTGTCAAATCATTACTTATGTATATTTATATTCTCAGATAATCTTATGAAGCAAACCTATTTGAAACATTTCATTTCTTTTTACGAAAAAGCTAAGGCAAGGAATACTGTATTGGGGGAGGGGGGCATATATATATATTATATATTTGTGGCAAGAAATTGGTACTGTGTTTTGTACCCTTTGCAGGGCAAATAAATAATGTTCAGCAAAGCTTTTATTGGCAGGTAATTGAATGAACTTTATTAAACAATTGCTGTTACATCATACTAATATGTACATGTGCAGGTCCAGCACAATCTCTTGATTTAGCTATATAGCTTGAAATAGCTATATAGCTTTATCAAGCTATTCAAAATAGCTTGATAAAGCTATTTATATGCAGTTTTTCAGAAAAATGTTTTTAGTAAAAAACAGAAAGTCGCAAGTATTTGACTATTCGTATATGTACTATGGACTATCAAAACAACAACTGAAATCAAAGTTAGTTCTAATATTGCAGCATTTGAATACTTTTAAGCAAAAGATGTATTTCCATTGTTTGAGTAACTGTACACTACCTTGTGTGCGTTGAGGTGTGGATAAGTATGATTGCTTCTCATTGTACTGAATTATTACCAATCAGTTATCTTGATGACCATAATTGGCCTCCTTTATAATTTCATTGCAGAAGTAACTATATCATTTGCTTCATATAGCCCCAAAACTTTTAGAACTTTTAGTACAAAGTCTCTTAAGGAGACGCAATTTGATGAGTGATTTTTATATACATACATTATTTTCAGAAGAGTTCAAGGTTGAATATTATCACTGCAGCAAGATGCGACTTTTTGTGCATGCTGAGAAAATAACACATCTAAGAAAAAAAAATGTGATAAAATAGCTAAATCAAGCTATTCTGAATAGCTTAATAAAGCTATATAGTTAAATTAAGCTATATAGCTAAATCAAGAGATTGTTCTGGACCTGATGTATATTTCACAAACAACAAATTTTGCCCTGCAAAAGAGCAGCACTATAGTATTTAGATTTGTGCAGCTAGTGGTTAAACTTATATTATTTATACATACCATATGAACTTAAATGTAAATAATGTTTATCAAAATAGAACAACTACTAATTACAGAAATTTAATAGCATAAATGTACTAGTATTTTTGTGTATATGTATCAAAAACAGCCACATTCACACAGATTTTTCATACCTTTAAATTAAAATATTATTGAATATCTTTTAAACATGTTTGTTTTTGTTTTTTTGTTGTTGTTTTTTTAGAATTCATAATGATTTGTTAAAGCTGGGCCTGTGACAGATTAAGATTCATGAGCTGTCATTGAGACACAATTAATAATGGAGTTTGCAGAATTCATAAAAGTACCTATGGTAGACAATGTCACTCTGTACAGGCCATTCAAGGTTCCAGACAGTGGTACTCTTTGTATCACAGGCCATCATATGATATTTTCAACAAGACAAAAAGAAAATCAGGAAGAACTTTGGGTATGTTACATGTATTAATAGACATGATGAAATATTCTTTGCCTTGTCTTGATATATTGTTACTGTTCTGGTCAATAATAAACCATATAAACCAGTTAACCCTCAAAGGTACATGTTAAATTGCTTTCATTATATGTAATCAAGATTATAAAGACAATATACAATGTAGCAGCAAAATTTTGCTCATGCAGAAAACTTTTGTAGAAAATGATTTCGAAATATCTATTTGCACATTAAAATCATGTATCAATAGTTTGTGAAACCTAATTCCCATGAGTATGTTTAGGAAAACATCTTTCTTCCTGTACAGTTTCTTAGCTGGTTTTAACTGTTGCAGTTATTGCATACAAATTTATAATTTGTTATCTGTGACATTACTATTGCACTGTCTGTGACATTACTATTGCACTGTATGTACTCTGTTCTTCTGGTTAATATCACTTTAAAAATGGATGAATATATATAGAGATTAATAAACCATCTGCATTTGTAAAGAAATGTATAAATGACTTTTGAGTGAATTAAAACTGATAAGCTTTAATTCTTTCAAAGCTCTTGCATAGTGCAGTGGATGCCGTTGAGAAAAGAACAGCACTGCAGCCCAATGGCAGATTTTCCATTATCCTGAAGTGTAAAGACTTTAAATTGTTATCACTAGAATTTGATAATGCTGATGTTATGAACAATGTGGCAACATCCATAGAGCAACTCTCTAACATAGGTAAGTTACACATAGAGCAACTCTCTAACATAGGTAAGTTACACATAGAGCAACTCTCTAATATAGGTAAGTTATACATAGAGCAACTCTCTAACATAGGTAAGTTATACATAGAGCAACTCTCTAACATAGGTAATTAAGTGGCTCTTGCACAAGAACAATTTTCAGTATGGTTTTGTCAAAATGCAAGTCAGAGTATTTAATTGTCACAAAATTATGTACTATATTTGGAAAGGGTTTTAAAAAAAAATCAAGATTGGAAAATTAAAACATACAGTTCTATATTTTAAGTAAGTAAAGTTTTCTTTATACTTTTCAGCAATTTATTTCTGTCTTCAGACAATTACACAAAAGCATGTAAATTTTTCAGATATATATAAACAAATTTTCATTAGTTTATCCAAAAAAAAAAAAAAAAAAAATCAGATTTCAAAGAAAATGAAACTTAAGCACAAATTGAAATTGATATTTATTCACCGATATTTAATTCCTTTCATGAAAATCTATAACACATGATAACCAGTCAAAGTTTTTACCAATTATGCCATATTTATACATGTATTTTTTAGCTTTAGCTAAACTCACCTGCACATTATATTGAGATACAAACTAAATATATATATAGACTCATTTTGTTGTCATAGTACAGAAAAAGCTGCATCTCTTAGCTCTTTTTGTTGATAAAAAAATAATTCTCATTTCTCATTGTAGATATTCAGATACCGAATTTTACATCCCCTATTTTGCCATTTAGCTATATCATATCACGTTCATTTGATAATATTCAAACAGCTCTCTAAGAATCCTAAAGTTAGCCAGAAGCTTTTTACAGTATTTGCATGTAGTTACAATGTATAGTAGTCTGGTATATGTATAGATATGACACTAAATGAATATAAATTTGTAGATGATGTCACTTTGAAGTATCCATTCTTCTATCGAGCCATGTTTGAACCACTAGAAGATGGATGGCAGGCATTCCAACCAGAGAATGATTACCCGAGGTTTAAAGAGTGTGCTGATGAGTGGAGAGTGACCAATATCAACAGAGAGTATAAAGTAAGAGACAGAAATTTCTATTCAGGTCAATCTTTTTGCTAGAAAGTGATTGAATTAAAGGTTATATTTCTTAAATCCTTGCCCAGTGATGTGGGGATATAAAATATATCATGTCTGTAGGTTTTTCTGTTAATATTTCTCTCTTTTCTGAAGGTCCCATTTTGCATTTTGATCTTTTTTTAAAAAAAATTATTCAAGATTAAACTTTATGAAACTTCATACCCAGCTACATGTATATGTTGGCAAGAACAATATATTTGTGTAGCAAAATAACTTGCCCAAGGTCTTCTACGTAAGCCTTATTACTTGCCCTGACTTTTCATTTCGTTTATTTTCATGAATGCTGATTGATATTCCTTAATTCACTCATTTTATGTAAAGCTGCATGTTGAGACTTCAGAGCATTGCTACGTATGTAAAAGTTACACAAGCATGGTGTTTTTTACATAGACTGCAAATTATACACACTATTAAATTTGTATTTATCAAATTTTTTTGAACTCTGCAGATTTTTTCAAGCTTACCTTCATATGTATATTTTTTATTTACATTTATAGCTTTTTATTCATCTGGAATGATCAACTTCCCAAAACATATTCACTGTGACAAGAACATTATAAGATTGTCAAAGATTGTCACTTCTTTTAATCTTTTTCATTTCTATATTTTATTTAATGCTTATTATCTTTGTATTTAATGGATTGCTTCATGTTATTACCTAACTGCATTTTTACCTAATTACTTATAGTGTAATAACAAAGTTTTGATATGTCAGCAGTTATGATAATATGTAATAAGATAGTAAGGATCATAGCATGGTTTGGATATTGTAGATCTGCCCCTCTTACTCTTGCTTTGGATATTGTAGATCTGCCCCTCTTACTCTTGCGTTGGATATTGTAGATCTGCCCCTCTTACTCTTGTTTTGGATATTGTAGATCTGCCCCTCTTACTCTTGTTTTGGATATTGTAGATCTGCCCCTCTTACTCTTGCTTTGGATATTGTAGATCTGCCCCTCTTACTCTTGCTTTGGATATTGTAGATCTGCCCCTCTTACTCTTGCTTTGGATATTGTAGATCTGCCCCTCTTACTCTCACTTTGGATATTGTAGATCTGTCCCTCTTACTCTTGCTTTGGATATTGTAGATCTGCCCCTCTTACTCTTGCTTTGGATATTGTAGATCTGCCCCTCTTACTCTCACTTTGGATATTGTAGATCTGCCTCTCTTACTCTTGCTTTGGATATTGTAGATCTGCCTCTCTTACTCTTGCTTTGGATATTGTAGATCTGCCCCTCTTACTCTCACTTTGGATATTGTAGATCTGCCCCTCTTACTCTCACTTTTGATATTGTAGATCTGCCCCTCTTACTCTCACTGTTGATATTGTAGATCTGCCCCTCTTACTCTCACTTTGGATATTGTAGATCTGCCTCTCTTACTCTTACTTTGGATATTGTAGATATACCCCTCTTTCTTTCCCTTTGGATATTGTAGATCTACCCCTCTTACTTTCCCTTTGGATATTGTAGATCTGCCCCTCTTACTCTCCCTTTTGATATTGTAGATCTGCCCCTCTTACTCTTGCTTTGGATATTGTAGATCTGCCCCTCTTACTTTCCCTTTGGATATTGTAGATCTGCCCCTCTTACTTTCTCTTTGGATATTGTAGATCTGCCCCTCTAACTTTCCCTTTGGATATTGTAGATCTGCCCCTCTTACTTTCCCTTTGGTTATTGTAGATCTGCCCCTCTTGCTTTGGATATTGTAGATCTGCCCCTCTAACTTTCCCTTTGGATATTGTAGATCTGCCCCTCTTACTTTCCCTTTGGATATTGTAGATCTGCCCCTCTAACTTTCCCTTTGGATATTGTAGATCTGCCCCTCTTACTTTCCCTTTGGATATTGTAGATCTGCCCCTCTTGCTTTGGATATTGTAGATCTGCCCCTCTTACTCTCCCTTTGGATATTGTAGATCTACCCCTCTTACTCTCCCTTTGGATATTGTAGATCTACCCCTCTTACTCTCCCTTTGGATATTGTAGATCTGCCCCTCTAACTTTCCCTTTGGATATTGTAGATCTGCCCCTCTTACTTTCCCTTTGGTTATTGTAGATCTGCCCCTCTTGCTTTGGATATTGTAGATCTGCCCCTCTTACTTTCCCTTTGGATATTGTAGATCTGCCCCTCTTACTTTCCCTTTGGATATTGTAGATCTGCCCCTCTAACTTTCCCTTTGGATATTGTAGATCTGCCCCTCTTACTTTCCCTTTGGATATTGTAGATCTGCCCCTCTTGCTTTGGATATTGTAGATCTGCCCCTCTTACTCTCCCTTTGGATATTGTAGATCTACCCCTCTTACTCTCCCTTTGGATATTGTAGATCTGCCCCTCTTACTCTTGCTTTGGATATTGTAGATCTGCCCCTCTTACTCTTGCTTTTATATTGTAGATCTGCCCCTCCTACTCTCATTCCGTTATTGTTCCAAAGTCCGTGGATGATGACACCATTATCAAATCTTCACAGTTCCGTCAACATGGCCGCTTTCCTGTTCTAAGCTACTATCACAGACAAACAAAGGTAAAATAAGTCATTTAAGCTTTAAATTCACCATGAATATAACTAATATGAAATGACTTATTTGTAAGTGCAGGTTGAGAATATATATTCACCTGATCAGGTCATAAGTATGTCATTATTTTTGTGTCAGTTAATAAGTCTATTACACATTGATAGTTGTAATTTATAATTATCAATTGTTTGGTATATTCTGCTATTAAATGAATCAGGCTGTTATGATGAGGTGTAGCCAACCCTTGACAGGACCAAACAACAAACGCTGTAAAGAGGACGAAAAACTGCTGAATGCTGTCCTAGGAATAGGAAGAAAAGGCTACATCATTGACACAAGGTCTCAGGCAGTAGCCAGAGCTGCACAGACAAAAGGTAAAATAACATAACTGCAGGACAGACAACAGGTACTGTACCATTACTGTTGTACAGACAAAAGGTAAAATAACATAACTATACAGGACAAACAACAGGTACTGTACCATTACTGTTGTACAGACAAAAGGTACATGTACATGCATGTATTTAAGAGTGCAGCTGCATAGATAAGAAGAGTTTTGTAAGAATACTGTTGCTCATACGAAATGAGTATGAGAATTATCTTTTAAGATACTTGCATTATTACTGCACAAATGAGAGGTTGTAATATAGTGTAATATTACTGCTGCACAGACAAGAAATAACATGTTATATAACTTGCTAATGTAAGATATGTGCATACAATGTAGTTTATTTTCAGTTTATTTGAGAATAATAAACAGATAAATTGATATAAGCATTCAGAACTGATCTGAAGAAACTGCAAAGAGTAATCTATGTCTGTGTTAAACAGACTAAAACTTATCGATCTCATATTACATGTAATTAACTTAATCAAATATAAACAAAGTAGTAGATAAAGAAGAAACCTCCAAATAATCTAAAGATTCATAAACACTTGATGAAAGTCACTTGTACATGTTGTATGAATTGAACTTTGACCTTTCTGTAGGAGGAGGTTATGAACCTGATGCACACTACTCACACTGGAGGAGAATTCACCAAAGTATTGACAAAAGACAGACATTCCATGAGTCCTTGATCAAACTATTGGAAGGTGTGTCCATATTAATTACAAATAAATGAAGCAAGTTTACAAAAAAGAAATAATGATGGAACATTCACTCTTTTAAGTTTGCTTTTAATAGGGCTTTGGTTGTAAGCATTCTTTTACTGTATATCCACTTCTTATGGAGAAATAGCTTAGACAGTATTATAGTAAAGTTTGAAAACAGTTCTGTGGATGACTGATGTTGCATAAAAATATATTTCCTGAATGATTACAGCATGTACTGATGATGGCTGTAGTATGGATAAATGGTTGTCAAAGCTGGAGTCCAGTAGCTGGCTGTCTCATGTCAAGGACATCCTGACCTGTGCTTGTACAGTGGCACAGTGTATGGATTCAGAGGGTAAGGTCATACTGCCTTGACTATCACCTACAGTACTGACCTATTCTATATGTAGCAGGGTAAGGTCATACTGCCTTGACTATCACCTACAGTACTTACCTATTCTATAAGTAGCAGGGTAAGGTCATACTGCCTTGACTATCACCTACAGTACTGACCTATTCTATAGGTAGCAGGGTAAGGTCATACCGCCTTGACTATCACCTACAGTACTGACCTATTCTATAGGCAGCAGGGTAAGGTCGTACTGCCTTGACTATCACCTACAGTACTGACCTATTCTATATGTCATACTGCCTTCGCTACCACCTACAGTACTGACCTATTCTATAGGTAGCAGGGTAAGAACATACTGCCTTGACTGTCACCTACAGTACTGACCTATTCTATATGTAGCAGGGTAAGGTCATACTGCCTTCACTATCACCTACAGTACTGACCTATTCTATAGGTAGCAGGGTAAGGTCATACTGCCTTGACTATCACCTACAGTACTGACCTATTCTATAGGTGGCAGGGTAAGGTCATACTGCCTTGACTATCACCTACAGTACTAACCTATTCTATATGTAGCAGGGTAAGGTCATACTGCCTTGACTATCACCTACAGTACTGACCTATTCTATAGGTAGCAGGGTAAGGTCATACTGCCTTGACTATCACCTACAGTACTGACCTATTCTATAGGTGGCAGGGTAAGGTCATACTGCCTTGACTATCACCTACAGTACTGACCTATTCTATAGGTGGCAGGGTAAGGTCATACTGCCTTGACTATCACCTACAGTACTAACCTATTCTATATGTAGCAGGGTAAGGTCATACTGCCTTGACTATCACCTACAGTACTGATCTATTTTATAGGTAGTAGGGTAAGGTCATACTGCCTTGACTATCACCTACAGTACTGACCTATTCTATAGGTGGCAGGGTAAGGTCATACTGTCTTGACTATCACCTATAGTACTAATCTAGTTTATATGTGGCAGGGTAGACTATCACCTACAGTACTGACCTATTCTATAGGTAGCAGGGTAAGAACATACTGCCTTGACTGTCACCTACAGTACTGACCTATTCTATATGTAGCAGGGTAAGGTCAAACTGCCTTGACTATCACCTACAGTACTGACCTATTCTATAGGTAGCAGGGTAAGGTCATACTGCCTTGACTATCACCTACAGTACTGACCTATTCTATAGGTGGCAGGGTAAGGTCATACTGCCTTGACTATCACCTACAGTACTGACCTATTCTATAGGTAGCAGGGTAAGGTCATACTGCTTTGACTATCACCTACAGTACTGACCTATTCTATAGGTAGCAGAAGCTGACGAACATTCTTCTTTGTCAGCATCAGCTCTAATTTTTGAGCTAATGATATCAATAAAAAATTTTAAAATGATACCATTGATTTTCACATGAAGTGATAAAGATAGAAATGTGCAAGAGTGTTGATTTTTTTTTATAGGAGCCAATGTTCTTGTACATGGATCAGAAGGATTTGACAGCACACTTCAGATTACATCTCTAGTCCAGATAGTCCTTGATCATGACTGTAGAACTATCAATGGGTAAGACTGTTAATATAATGCAAACTCAAAAACAATGGGAAGGAATACATTAAAACCTGAATTAGACGACATACTGTTTGTATAAGTAATCAGTAAATAAAATTTGGAGAGTGTAAAGTAAAAATGTAGTTCTTCAAGTTTGCTATGCATTTACATTCAAACCTTATTACATGTATTTCTAACTCGATGGTACTGAGAAAATACTTCAAGATATTTGAGAATTCAATATATTCAAGGTAAAATATATAAGGAATAAGTGTTTGGGACCCCCAAATCACTTTGAAATATCCATAGTATTCTATAAATCAGCTTTCAAGATACCAAAGTTCAACTGTATATGTCATTCAGGTTTCTTGTCATAATGAGTCATCAAAAGCCTCAGGCAATTTGAAAACTAAGATTTATTTACATGTCTATCTTGTTTCTTGCTCAGATTTGAGGCTCTAGTGGAGAGGGAATGGTTACAGGCAGGACATCCCTTTAATGACCGCTGTACCAAATCAGCCTTTGCAGTTTCTAAGAACAGACAAGAATCCCCTGTTTTCCTCCTTTTTCTAGACTGTGTCTGGCAGGTAAAAAAGACAAACTGGGTCTAAAAGCTTAAGTACTGATTATAATTACCATGTCTTGGAGATGTAAGATTGAAGATTTTTTTTTTTGTACATTTTATTTGCTAGTTCTTATGTCCACAAAATAAAACATGGATATAAGTATTCTCTTGAACTAAAGGAGATCAGGTGACTTTGATCGGACTTAGAGATGAATGGTCAAATAAGAAATTATTATTGCCTGAAGATCTAAAATTGCATTCAGAGACACACAATTCTTTTGCATCTTAGTTGTTATCTACTCATTCTGTTTGTTTTGAACTTGGGCTGAATGCTAAAATCAATTTTTCTTATTAAAGTTTAACACTTAGTGTATATACATGTATCCCCATGTGGCTTCATTCCCTACTAATTTTAATCTTACTGGTTTTAGATATGGCAACAATTCCCTTGTTCCTTTGAGTTTAATGAGGACTTTTTAATTGAATTATTTACTCATGCCTATTACTCGGACTTTGGTAAGTCTCATAAATTCAATTCGATTTATGATATACTGTAAAAGCAGAAATATTCATTGGGGATTTAAAGCAATATGAGCTGCAACTTTGATGTCAGAAATTTTTGTTGCAAAATTGTAATTAAACATTTCTAGGACAGAAAAAATAAAGTTTATAAACTTTTGTTGTTCATATTTATGACGGAAGAACTATTTATAAGCTCTGATTGAAGTAAAATTACATTATTGTCGTCCTGTACAATATTGTTTTCTTATATAATGCTATATATTTGATTGTGCAGAATCCTTTACCTGAAACAATTTGATACTTTATTTCTGTCTAATTGATCAAAAAAGTTTAATTTACACATAAATTTATCATAATATCACATTTTAACAGCAAAATAAAATTCTCAAAAATGCAGCTCATATTGCTTTTATTTCATTGTTAACAATTAGCAACGAAATTAAATCCCACACAAAATTTTTATATCACTATATATTGAATAGTGTTACTTTTGAAACAACAAAATTTAATACCCATGAAACCTTTTTAGATGACAAATCAATGAAATTTTATCCCCATGAAAATTTGTGCTTCTACAGTATTAGGTTGATAGTGTTTAGTTATTAATTTATAAGATGCTCAGATAAGCAGGAGTTAATAATGTAAAAGGTAAAATTAATACATTTAGGATGGAATAAGTATCACATATTTATCTTTTATTAGTTTTTTATCTTTAAGTTTCCATATTTATAACCTGTGTTATGTACATTGATTGAGTATATTTTTAGGAACATTTCTGTGTAATAATGAGAATGAAAGGAAGAAGTACAAGTTATCAGAAAGAACAGTTTCATTATGGTATGTTCTGAATGGATATTTATACTGGTATTGAGGTATAGCATTTTATTATTAATAAATTTATGTATTTGTATTTTCAGTCTCCAAAATTCAAATAACTTTCAGACTCTCTATACATGTAATTTTTAATTTGATGTAGTGATCTATCAGATTTTTTTTGGTGAGAAGTTTCTGTTATCTTGCTCCATCTGAGTTGGCATCTAAGTATGAGCAGGTCTTTGGACGTAATGGACGTTAACATCTTTGGATGTAATTTTACATCTGATCTTTCTTTAGGACATATTTAACAAGACCAGAAATATTAGAGCAGTACCTAAATCCAATGTATGATCCTAATCCACATGTGATCTGGCCATCAGTAGCACCACAGAGTCTTGTAAGTATAAATGTATAGAGAGGGAGATAATAGTGGATATCATAAATACCTTAATGATCAATTTTTTGTTTGCCTATAATGAAAACACGTAGAGTAATAATTGGTATTAATTAAAGTAATTCATATACCTGAATCTTTTTGTTAAGTATTAAAATTAGATACATTGTATTTCTAGGGTCTGTGGACCAGTTTGTATCAGAGGTCTTATGTGAATGACAAGAAACAAAGGGAAGCTTGGAAGGAAATCAGTAAGATCCAATCTCATGACAAAGAACTGAGATCCAGAGTTGCTAAACTTAGAAGGTATTAAACAATCAGTGTGTTCAAATCCAGGTTATGAAGTGCTGTTTCATATCTCTATTCTACTAACAAGCAGTAAACTTCAAAAAGAAAAAAAAAAAGGGAGCCAAGATTGTTGTCTTTTGTGATGTCTGATAAATGACTTTGTAGTTAAAAAGATGTATTTTGTAAATATAGTAGCATTCCTGCTACATGTAGTACAATGTAAGTGTGAAGCTCATGGTATAATGGTCATAGGTGTTATGCCAGTAACCCAAAGATTGCTAGTTCAAGCCCCACTGTGGGCTCTTGATTTTGTGTGTTGTGTTCTTAAACAAGGCACTTTATCTGCATTGTCTCACTCCACCCAGTTCCAATGACTACCAGCTTACGCTGGGGGTTAACCTGCGATGGACTGGTGTCCCAATCCAGGGGGAGTCAATGACTCTCATCCACTTTGCACCAAAAGAAACCAGGTACAGGCACCGACCTTATGTGCCTCATGGCTTAGAGAAGAATTTAAGTTTAACATGCTAATATTACTCAATAGTGTAATGATTTTCAGCCATAACTTTTGCAATGTACTTAAATGACCTGAGAGTACATATGTATAAAGCCTACCTTCCACTTAATTACAGGCTATTGGCATCTCTTGAGAAGGAGGCGTTATCATCAGGGATGATCTTACCAACAGAGTTAGATGAAGACTGCACACTGGAGGAGGCGTAAAGGAAGTGACATGGACATAAAATGCAATAAGACACGGGGGAATCTATCTGTGAAGGGATATGTGCAATACATATAAGGACTGTGTAATAACAGTATATGTATAATAACAGAAGGTTCTTATGTTGATATAATAGTGACCTGTTTATCTTTTTTAGATAAATACATGTTCATTATTGATGCTTTAAAGACTTCTGTTTATGTTTGGGAGTCATACGACTGTACATTACATTCCAGATGACTTTCATATGAAAAATCTATGTTTTGATTCAGCAAAATAATGTGTTTATTATTTCATTTTAACCTGCCTTTGCTGCAGTAGTGTTCAATATTGATTATTAAGCATCAACACTGTAAATATCAGTGCTCTATACAGCTTATATTTTTTCTTATGGTTTTAAGTTCTACTGGTCAGAGACCAGAAGAGCTTATACAATAGTAAGGTGTCCGTCGTCTGGCCATCTAGCTGTCTAATTGTCTGTAAACAAATTTTCAAAATGACACTCCTCCTACAGTTTTGTTCCTATTTCAATATAACTTGGTACACAGGTAGATTACATAAAGATACATTATTATATACATCAGTTTTTGATTTCAACAAAAGGTGTTGCCATGGTAACTAAAAAAAATATCATTGAAATCATTTCAAAATGCAACTCCTCCTACAGTTTTGGTTCTGATTTCAATGTAACTTGGCACACATGTAGACCACACTAAGATACATAATTCAAAATTCTTTGTATAGGTTTTTAATTTTGATGAACAATGTTGCCATGGTTACTCAAAAAAATTCCTGTGAAATAATTTCAAAATGCTACTCCTACAGTTTTGGTCTGATTTCAATTTAACTTGGCTCACAGTCATGTAGACTACACTAAGATGCATAAATCTATATATTGTTTTTTTTTTTTTTAAATTTTGATGAACGGTGTTGTTTTGGTTACTCAAAATAAAAATTTCTATGAAATAATTTGAAAACGCCACTTCTCCAGTTTTGGTTTGATTTTAATATAACTTGGCACACAGTAGACAACATTAAGATACATAATTTTATCACATGTTTACTTGATCCTTTTTACAGTGCACATAGCTTATAGGATATTGTTTTCATATCACAATGGTTTTTGAGTGAATTTGATCAAGTCAAATATGTTGGATTTACAAATATAAAACAGTGTAAAATATGAAAAAACTATATGTAAAAAGAATCTCCCATGGTTTGTGGTTAGATAAATGATACTCTTCCTACAGTTTTGGTCTGATTTCAATATAACTTGGCACGCAAGTAGACTACACTAAGATGCATAATTCTGTGCATTGGTTTTTGATTTCAATGAGCGGTGTTGCCATGGTTATTATAAAAATTTCTGTGAAATACTTAAAAACACTATTCCTCCTACAATTTTGGTCTAATTAATATTTAAATATCAATTGGCACTCATGTAGACTGCACTAAGATGCATTACTCAGTGCATTTTTTTTTTAACATTGGTGAATGGTGTTGCTATAGTTATTGAAAATAGAAATTACTGTGAAATACTTTCAAACTGCGTCTTCTACAGTTTTATCCTGCTTTCGATGTAACTTTGCGCACACATAAACTACACTGAGATACATAATTCTGTATATCAGTTTTTTATTTTGATGAATGGTGTTGCCATGTTACTACATGTTAAAATAGAATTTTTAGTGAAATTCTTTCAAAAGGCTTCTCCTCCAACAGTTTTAGTCAGATTACAATAAATCTTGTCACAAAGAGACTAAACAAGGACTATTATTCTATTTATTACTGTTGTATAGTTGCAAGTGCTAATTTACGCTCCCTTGTTTTAAGTACATACCAGTAGAGCTGCAGTCTCATCAGAGACATCTGGGTTTTTTTTTTTTATTTACATCATTGCTCATTTTTTGCATGAAAGTGCACCTGTATGAATTTGTTTGTTATACCTAACTTGTTAACAATGGTTTATACAATCACCAGTTATTTTGTTAAAATAAATACACTGTAGTATGATTTTTATGGCTTGTTTCATTCTGCAAAATGACAATTGCTAATAGAATCTACATCCACACTGTTTAACACCTACTACCTAGGTCACATTTAAGCTGATGATCGGGCGATCAAATATTTCTCGTATCATGATCGGCTGAAAAACATGATCGGCCGACACTGGTATCGGGCGACGCGGAGCAGTCACATTAATTTCTGGGAGCACCGATAATTTTCAAAAATAATTCTAAGTCGGCCAACAGTCGCCCGATGATCCTTCGCTAAGCCACAGTTTGATTCTACAAAAAAAAAAAAGTTTTCCAGCACAATAGAAACAATTCAGAGAATGTGTATCTCCCGCGTAAGGGAAAAAAGAAAAGGAATTGGAAGAACTGGAAAAATTTGCAGATGGAGAAAGAAAAAGGTCAGCCTTGGTCTTTAAGCATTTGGCTTTAAAGTCAAAGAAATTCATGAGCAAAAGTTTCATTGCAAAAGCTTACAGAAAAACTAAAATTATTAACGAAAACATATATATGCAATTTATATTTCTGACCTTGACCTTTGATTTTTTGACCTCAAAATCAATGGGTTTTTTTTTTTAATTAATTGATAAATTATTATTATTAATTTTAAAATTATTATTATTAATACAAGGTGAATATTTGAAAATTTTCACGTGTATATACTTCATGAAAATTATTGTGAATAAGGCGCAACCGAGAGTAACATTGGAAGTACTATTGTCAACCGAAGCAGTCGCCGAGGTTGACGATGGTTTTCTTGGAGTGAACATTTTCAATGTTGCCCTCACCTACATGCAATATTTGTTATCTTATAGGGAATTTATAACACAAATGCATATTATTATAGTGAACTGAGCACGCATAAATTAATGGGCGAACAAGGCGTATAAAATGCCTCTAGCTTCAAATGTATGAAAAGAAGAAAAGTTCAATTTGTGAATTAAATATTTAGAGCGAAGTTGTAATTATTGAAAAGTATGGAATAATGACCAAAAAACCTTTCTGTGGAACAATTCTTCTGTGAAAAAGATATTGTTCTATGGTTAAAAAATATTATATAAGGATACAAGCGATGAAATCCCGAGTTTCATTTTATTCTTAGAGACTGACAGTACTTATCACTAAACATCTTTTGTCGCCCGCGTGGCGCAGTGGTAGAGCGCTTGGTCTAGAGTCGCGAGTTGATCCTTACATTGTAGGTCGCGGGTTGGAATCCCACTGCGGGACGTGGAGACCGGTCCTTCGGATGAGACCATATAAACTGAAGTCCCATGTCGCAGTAGGTGCTGGCACGAAAAAGATCCCGCACTGCTCAATGGCCCTAAGTGCCGAGTATACTAGGTCAAAATTTGTTGCCCTCCACCAGCAAGTCTCCATATGAGTGAAAAATTCTCGAGAAGGACGTTAAACAACAAACAAACAAACTCATAACAGGAAACTGCTTTTAAATCTTGATTGTCATATATGACTGTTGATTAAAATCCACTCAATTTTGACGCCACTCTTGTTTTTTGTTGTTGTTGTTGTTGTTGTTTTGTTTTGTTGTTTTTTTTTTTCAGGAATGGAGAGTAGCAAATTATATTTAAAACGGTATTTGCTATGTTCAAATTCTCCTTCCCGTGCCTCTACCGAGGAGAGAACTTAGAAAATTTCATTATTAAGAAAAGAAATATATTGGTATCGCTGAGAAGCGATCTCGATACCCTCACTAGGTTAGTCAGACACTTATCATAACAACTAGAGTGTTCCAAGGAACGCATGTGTCGCCTGCTTTGTAGCTCCACTAAAGTGTAAATAAATTTAAGGATGGTCAGCTTTTTATTTACTATAAGCATGATGGACTGACAGTTCATGCATTTGCCTGCAAAGAAAAACAATGGCATCCATGGATATTATAGTATGAATCTGAATAAGTGATAGTAGAATCTGACAATCAGAGAAAATATATGGTTCCATAACCCTCAACCCAGATAACATGACTATGTTGGGCCAACGTTGTTAAATGGTTGTACAGTTGGCCAATGGTTGGCGTTGACTAGACAACGTTGGACCAATGTTACCATGTCAATCTTTCCTGTAGTAGCCAACTACGTTGGGATTCCTACGTTTGCCCAACGTTGGTCCAACATTAAAAAACTCCTTTTTGCTGTATTTTCTACAGAAGCTGGGATTCTAAATTAAGTTGGCCCAGCGTTGGCCCAACGTTTGTAATGCAACCTTAACAAACTTGATTATTTAATCTGGTAACAGTATGTTTGGCCAGTGTTAGCATGCGTTTTCTTTAAATTGGTCCAACGTTGTCCCATTGTCGTACTGCGAACTATAGGACAACGTGCATATAAATTGGGAGTATTACGTTGGGCCATTGTCGGCTAAATGTTTGCTAAGCCATTTAAAAGATGCATGGTTATTTAAGCTGGTAACAGTATGTTAGTCCAGCGTTGGCCCAATGTTAGCATGAACATGGTCACTGTGTGCTGGGAATGTAATTAATGTCGGAAAAACGTAAACCAAAATTAAAAGTCATTATTGCAAATTTTGAAGAAATACTAAAATGTGCAGGGCAGGAAGGGGGTATATTAATATGTAACTCAGTGAGACACTTCCAAGTAGTGGTCTGCTGGATTGTGACTCTTTCTGATTGTATTTATACAGGTTGGGTACATGTAACAGGGCCACTCCCCATAACCTGTGATGCGCTATGGACCGGGAGGGAGTTAATCCTTGGAAAAGTAGATCCAAACTGGAGCTTAATGTCGAAAAATAAAGGAACAAGAAAAAAATTAACTTTGGCCAATCTGGTCAAGGGCAGAGAATTAGAGAAGTTGTCCTCCATACAACGATCCCGGAGTTGACAATCAATTTAATCAGTAACTGGATAATTATAATTATATGAGAGAAAAACAATTTTTATCAGAAGCGGAAAACCAGCATTATTTTTTTCATAACACATTCATCTCACTATCGAATCTGTTGACAGATGGTGGATTTTTAAATTAAATTACTTTATAACACTTTACTCGCCTTACTCTATCTCCTTATATGTTAAATACTACTGATATGTTAAATGTATTTTTTGTGTATATTATTTTTTTTTATTGTATATTAACAAACAATAATTACAAGCATTTAAAACAGTATATTTTAAGCTGGTCAATATAAGCATAGCACTCCTTTCCTTAAAAGCAATAGGCCTCGTACATTTACCCTAACATAATTGGACCAAACATTTCCAGGAAAGATACGAATTTCGAGTCATAAAAGTGTATTTTTTAAGGTATAGAGTATCTTCTTTGAAGATACACTATATACTTTCCAAAATATGGAACAAAGATCCATTACATTTCTAGAGAAACTGTGTTATTCTGAAGAAATATTTTTTGCCTTCGACTCAGGTGAGCTAAAACTGAAATGGGACTTGGAGGGGGAGGGGGTATATGCAGGGAAGTTTCAAATAGTTTTTATGATAGTGGATATTATGGATATTTGTGAATCGTTTTTGCTTTATACATGTGTCATTAATAGATTATATATAGCACCAAAAGGGAATTCGATTATTTTATAGGTTTTGGTGTTGTTTTCATGTGATATAAATCATGCTCAATTTATCAGTACCCTACCGGTGAAAGTGAAGGGGTCTTTCGGTTTCCTGTCCGTCTGTCTGTCCGCCTGCCCACTTTCTGTCACTTAGTCCATCCCACTTGTTTTCCACATTTTTCCCTGCATGCTTGCAGATATTGAGCTTTTTTTTTTTAAATATGTGTGGGTCTACAATTCACACCATGTGAACTACAATTCACACCTTCCCTATCCAACAAACAAAAATCATAGCATTTAAACCAAGGTTAGTGAAATACAGAATTAATTTTTAATCATCAATTTTGATATTTTAGTTTTACTCAATTTACAGAAATAACAGATGTCCATACAAATATATCCACAGGAAAAAAAATGAAAAATTCAAGCATTTCCGTGATTGTCTTCATTTTTAATAATATATTTTACAGATAGGATTTAAACATCCGACCGTGCTTTTGCCCTCTTATTTCTCAGAAACATAAAAAAAACATGAAGTCCTTTCCTTAATTGCTTATCTTCCTTATGATTCAATGGGATGTAATGTTTATAATGTATAATGGCATATCATGTGTAATTTTAAAAAAATCATGTGAATGCTTATGTTTAAATTATAGGACTGCATAGGAACTATATGAGTTCAAAAATAATTTGGACTTTACTAGTACATGTATCTATTATAGCTAGGGACTATGTATTTATCAATCCATTGTTACATGAATTGGAACATTAAAATGGATGTATACGTATTTACGTTGATGCGATTTACTTTTTTGAAACATGCTGTTGCATGTAACTGATTAAATGTGATTTTTATCGAGGTCCGGAAACGAACAAAAACAGGAAAATGGTACTTATATGTTAATGAAGCTGTTCATTTAATAAAAAAAAATCATAAATGAAAAGATAACTCTACCTAAAACTTCATTTTTTATTTTTGCAAAACATATTACTTTAATATTAAAAAGCTATCACCTGTAATGACTACTTTTTATTAATAGCTAGGAGCCATACATGGCATGCATGTTTTTTCCCAAACTCATTAGAGGATAAATTATATTAGGCAAAAGTTGGCTTATATTAGGTTACCATGGCAACATGCCCTAAAAATTAAAAAAAAAATGGATATGTTCAGAGTTCCAATTACTAACGTTTGCTTACTGCAGAATAATGACAATGGCTGTCGAAGACTTGATATTTTATTTGCATGATAAAAAAAAAAGTGGGAAACTATATTACACTATATTATTTTTGCCTATTATTCCAAGCTCTCTGATTGGCTCATGTAATGTTTACGTAAATCTGATAACAATTATAAGCGAATGGCATCAATACCGTGGGACGGGAGAGAGAGAAGTCAAGATGAGAAATTACAAACACGTGCGGTAATGCTCTTTCTTAAGATCAAACAAAACAATGAAATTT